ACTATATTCCCTATGCTATCCCCTACATCCCCATGACTACTGCGTAACAACCAATCTGTACTTCTTAATCCCTTCCCCCTTTTCACCCACTCCCAAACCCCCTCCCAGAGGGAAACCATCAAAATGTTCTCCCTATCTATGAGTTTGTGTCATTCATTTTGTTCTTTAGATTCCACTTATAAGTGAAATCATATGACATTTGTCTTTGACTGTCTGACTTACTACACTCAGCACAGTACTCTTTAGGTCCATCCATGTTGTCGCAGATGGCAAGATTTCATTCTTTTTTATGGTCGAGTAATATTCCATTGTATATATGCACCACCTCTTCTTTATCCATTCATCCATTCAGGGACACCCAGGTTGTCTTCATATCTTGACCATTTGTAAACAATGCTGCAGTGAACATATGGATGAGCACGTCCCCTTGAAGTAGAGTTTTGGGTTTCTTCAGATAAATACCCAGAAGTGGGATTGCTGGGTCCTTCTTTGTCTCTTGTTAATAGTCTTTTGTTTTAAAGTCTATTTTGTCTGGTATAAGTATTGCTACTCCAACTGTTTGTTTCCATTTTCATGAAATATCTTTTTCTATCTCTTTACTTTCAATCTGCATGTGTCTTTTGATCTGAAGTGAGTGTCTTGTAGGCAGCATATGTAAGGGTCTTGTTTTTTTATCCAATCAGACACCCTATCTTTTAATGGGATCATTTAATCCATTTACATTGAAAATAATTGTTGGTATGTAGTTATTGCCATTTTATTATTCATACTTTTGATTTTTTGTTGTCTTAAAGAAGTCCCTCTAAGATTCCTTGTAATACTGGTTTGGTGGTGATGAATTCCTTTAGTTTTTTCTTGTCTGGGAAGATCTTTATCTGTCCTTCAATTCTAAATGATAGATTTGCTGGGTAATCTTAGTTGTAGGTCCTTGCTTTTCATCATTTTTTCCATCCCTTTACTTTCAGTCTGTGTGTGTCTTTCAATCTGAAGTGAGTCTCTTGTAGGTAGCATATGTGAGGGCCTTGTTTTCTTATCCATTCAGCCAGGGTAAGGAAGGTTTCCATCATTATTTCTTCAAATAGGTTTTCAATTCCTTGCTCTCTCTCCTCTCCTTCTGGTACCCGTATAATGCAAATATTGGTAACCTTGATGATGTCCCAGTGGCCCCTTAAACTGTCCTCATTGTTTTGGATTCCATTTTCTTTTTGCTGTTCTGATTGGGTGTTTTCTGCTACCTTATCTTTTAAATCGTTGATTCAATCCTCTGCTTCATCTAATCTGTTGATTCCCTGTAATTTAGTCTTCCATTATTGTATTCTTTATTTCTGTCTGGTTCTTTTTCATGTTTTCTATCTCCATTTTTATGTTTCCTATCTCTTTGTTAAAGTTCTCCCTGAGATCATTGAGCATCCCTATAACCAGTGTTTGGAACTCTGCCTCTGATCGATTGCTTGTCTCCATTTTGTTTACTTATTTTTCTAGAACTTTGTTCTGTTCTTTTATTTGAGACATGTTTCTTTGTATCCCCGTTTGGGCTGCCTCCCTGTGTTTGTTTCTATGTATTAGGTAGGGCTGCTGTGTCTTCTGGACTTAGTAGAGGGGCCTTATGTAGTAGGTGTGCTGTGGGGCTCAGTGGCGCAGTCTTTCTGGTCACCTGAGCCACGCACTCCAGGTGTGTTCCTTGTATGGGTTGTGTGTGCTCCCCTCTTGTAGTTGAGCCTTGGTTGATAATTGCACACCAATGGGAGGGACTGACCCTTGGGCTCACTGGTTGTGAGGACTGGCCTTGACTACAGTGGACAAGTTGTGGTACAGGGGCTGACTTAACAGAGCAAGATCTGCCTCAGCAGGACTCTGGTGCCTGTCCAATCAGCCCCTTGGGTGTGTCATACGTGGAGGCAGCTGGGTGATGCTCCAGCTCGTTTCAAAGCTGGGCACTGGGGGCACCAGCCTCAGGGCCACCTGGGAGGGGACCCACTGCACATCAAATTCAGCCACAGCCCATGCCCCACCCAGGGCCACATGGCAGGAGCCACAAAGTAATCCACAGATGGCCACCATCTGTGCCATGCTTGGAAGTTCCTCGAGAGGCCAAGCCACACACCAAGGCCAGCTGCCCCTAGCACCGTGGCTTAGGGCTACTTAGAGGTATGGAATAAACTGAAGCCAGATGCTGCTTGTCTGGGTTCTGCGAACCTTTGAGAGGCGCTAGGAAATTCTGCAGCATGAGCCAAGGCAGGTGGTTTGTGGGAAAAAGCCACTGGAAGCGGCTTGTGTGTGCCTGAAAGTTGGGCGAGGTGGGGTCTCCGAATCATCAGGGCGTGGTAAATGATTGGCATTAGAGACTCAGATATGGCATCCACCTGCGTCTGCATGCTGGGAAGAGGGAGGGCTCAACAAAAAAACCAATGGCTTCCACCAGCTACTCCATTTGGGAGAAAGCTGCCCCTCTAGCCCCCTGAAGCCAGACAACTCAGGTCCCCCCATATGTCCCTGTCACCTCTTCAGTTGCTGCCCCAGTGCTGGAGCTCAGAGCCAGTGATTCCGCCAGTAAGTCTGTGTGTGGTCCCTTTAAGAGGAGCACCTGGGACTCCAGTTGCCCTCCGGCTCACTCAGTCACAATCTCCACTGCTTTTTACAACCAGAAATTATGGGGACTTGTCTTCCCGGCCCTGGAACCCTGGGCTGGGGAGAGGGTGGGACCCCTTGCCCCTCTCAGGGAGACCTCCACAGCTGAGATATCCCTCCCAATTTTTAATGGTCACACATGGGTGTGGGACCAGCCTGTTCCGCGTCTCTGCCTCTTCCTCCAGTCTGGAGGTGGCTTCTTCTGTATGTCCTTAGTCATAGGGTTTTGGTTCAACACGATTTCAGGCGCTTCTCAATGGTGTTTGTTTTGTAGGTTAGTTGAAATTTTGATGTGGTCGTAAGAGAAGGTAAGCACAGCGTTTACCTACTCCGCCATCTTGACCGGAGCTCTGAGTATGAGTTTATTACCATACCATGTACCGAATTTCCCCAGGTATAAGACGCTCCCATGTATAAGACGCACCCTAATTTTGGGGCCCGAAATGTGAAAAAAAATGTATTACATAAAGTTACTGAACTCAAGTTTTATTCATCATAAAATTCATACAACTCCTCATCACTGTCAAAACTCCCAACCATTAGCTTGTCCTCATCTGTGTCTGATGACGAATCACTGTCTTCATATATTGCCTCGTCCTCAGCAGGAAATGCAAGTAAAAACAATCTACAACCACTGTATAAGACGCACCCAGTTTTTAGACCCCACATTTTTCAAAAACAGGTGCATCTTATACATGGGGAAATATGGTACTTAAAAAAGAAAGAAATCATTAGCAATCTAATAGGTGAAAGTTGTATTTTAATTTTTAGTTCTTTGATTATAGTGAGTGTTGAGTAATTTTTCACGTCCATTTGCCACATATTCTGTGAATTCCTGTTCATGTCATTTATGCAGTTTTCAATGGTATTTTGGTGTTTCATTATGCATCTGGAAGGATTCCTCATCAACTATGCTTTGTCACACTTGAATATACTATCTCAAACGATGACTTAGGTGTCTTCAATTATTAGGGCAATTAAAAATAGTGTATAATCAAATTTCATTAAATGTGGAAAGCAAATAAAACAATTTAGAGAAAACAAAAGGGATGGGAATTATTCTGATGGAGCAAAATGATTAAGAATCAAATATATTTAAAAGATAGGGGAAGCTGATAAAGATATTGAGAAAGGCATGGTATACATTACAGATTCAAATGAAACCCTATTGAAAAGTTAACATCATTCTCCTTAGATCTGGGGTATGAGAAGTTGCTTTGTAGGGTTCCATCTTCTGTAATGGAAATATACATTCAAACTTTTATTGAATACCTGCTATGTGTGTTAATGGGAATGTAGTTAGATGGGAGTGAGAAAACGAAACAAAACAAGATCCACTATGCTCTCAATCTAATGAGGAAACAGAAGCAACTAAAAATCACTTAAGAAATAAAAATAAATAAGGCAAAAGATAAATAGAGGAAAAAGCAGGGTGCTGTAGGAGCTCAGAAAGTTACCATTACTATTGATGAGAATCAGGAAAAGGTTCAAGAGGAACAGGCATTTCTATGTGGTCATGGAAATTAAGTAGGATTTCTTTAGGTGGAGAATATAGAAAAGGGTTTTCAAGAAAGGATGTACAAAAAAGCACGGGAGGTCACATGAGGTAGGAGGTTCTAAAGCAGGCATGCACCCAGATCCAATCTATCAGTCTTCTATTCAAGCAGATTCCAGTACTGTTAGGGATAACAAAACAGCACCTAGTAAAATTTGCTATGAATGAAAAAAAATGGCTGATGACACACCCATTTTAGTTCATTAAAATTTTTTTTTAACTCTGAGAACTTAAACACTGACCATAGAAAATTTAGACTCCATAAACATAATCAACACAGTAAAACTGACAATGGAAAAAACTTGATACAATTAAGCTTGTAGTCTTAGGTTGAAGTTGACTCCAAGACAAGAATGAGAGTATAATTTATTTGAGAGGTCATTCCAGAAAGCATCAGAGGGGGAAGTAAGACAGGAACATCAAACAGTTTTCCACTGGGGGCAAATGAGTTCGATCTCCCCTCATCAGGTAACTGGGAAAAATGGTGTAGAACATACCTCAGAGTCATCCCAACAGAGGATGAGGAAGTTGGGGTATTAACTCCCAGCACTTCTGGCCCTGGATACCCAGCTGAGAGAAAACCCTGTGGTGGGGAGCTGCAGGTGTTTGTGCTCAGAAGCCAACCACCATTCTTGTGTACTGAAGGGTGAGTGCCAAGAGGGCATGGGTGGGCCACCCTTACTATCTGCTACCTTTGTTACTGACTCAAAAGTATTGGAAGGATCACATCTTCTTGACAAAATTTAGAACCACAAAATTTGCACCACAGGAAACTGGTAGACATGATTGCCATAAAAGTAAACTCACTTGTAAGCCATTAAAATTTTTAAAATTTTATTTGGATAAATTTTAAAATAAATCTTCATGGTGACATTTTTTCATGAATAAACATTTTCCAGATGAAAGTAAAAGCAAATAAAAAATGCTAGAAATATTTTACCTGAATTATGTAGAAAATTGATATCAAGGGATTAAATTGATTTCAATTTGCTCAGAAAAATATGTTCTTCATAAAATTTCATCAATGCTGGCATGATTCTGATTAGAATGTTTTTACTCAGAAACATGGAGTCACAGTGTCCTCAGGCTCAAAACAAGAGGAGGATCGAAACATCCTGTTCTTTAGTTGCTAGAGGCCAAAAAATGAAGAGGATTTGTGCCAGGGGAAATTGCATGGGTAAATGCAGAGTGGAAAAGCATATGGAATGCTTTGGGAATGATGAATTCCTCGCTGACAGAGCTATGGGAGCAGATGTTAAGCAAAAAAAAAATCATTTTCATGAATATTCTGTGGATCTGCAGATTTCTTTGTTGAAAGAGGATAAGAGAAAAATTGGATCTTATAGTCCTCCAGTGTAACTCTTCACAACTTTTCACCAAAACATCCCATGACCTTACAGGAAAAGAATAAAAACCCATTAAAATAATGAGAGATTGACAGACAACATAATGTAAAATTGTGAGCAGCCTTGATAATAATCTTAAAGCAAATAGAGTTTTAGAAAAATAGATCCATACGTCTTTACCTTATGGAACACATAGGCTTCCCTTCATGAGCGAGAAAGTGGAGAAAGATTTTTTTTGAAAGGTACATTGCTCTTGCTCCACCAACTGTGTCCTGACTCAGAGATCTGGGCCCTTACTAGCCAGAGGACTGGGCATTCATCTCCCTTGATCCCAAGGAGCTCTACTGTGAGGAGGCAGTTTTGTTCCTGAGTTTTGCCCCTTGCCTCGAAACCTCTCATCCCCCATCCCCCGCCCCCCCACTGGCTTCTCACCCGCTGGCCCCAGCCCTCACCATGTCCCCCAGTCTGCCCACTGTCTTTCTCCATTTTTCCATTGAAACAGAACCAGTGATCAACTAGGCAGGAAGTAAGGGCAGACTGGCTGGGGTATAAAGCGTATCCTCCCCCATTACTCACTCACTCACTCACTCACTCACTCACTCACTCACTCACTCACTATAGGTGACCACAGACATAGGAAGAAAAATTTCACATACTGCTATTGGCTTCCAGCACCAGAGAAGAAGACAATGAGAGGAGGGCAATCACCATCAGAGTACAAAGAGGTACAATTACAGAAAACCCATTAGAAACTGAAATGTGGACTGGAAACTGTGCCAATCACCTCACCCCCTTTTCAGCTGCAAGACTTACCAAGGGGGTGGGACCACTACCCAAATGGATAGAAGTTGGGACTAAAGGCAAGCCACGCGTTCTGTTGACACACTGAGACTGGAAGGGTCTTCCCTGGTTTGTGTCTGAACCAAGAGGAAAACCAAATTGGGGTCTGCAAACCAAGGCCATGGGATTAAAAAAAATACTTAGACGACTCAGAAAAAGGAAATATACTTCTGGAAAATTACTCGCTTTCAGAGCCAGAAGAAAAAGGCAAACTATCAGGCATCTTCAAAAGACGGCATGAGAAGCAAAGGGTCGTAGGTAGATGAAAAGCAGAATTTGAAAAGGTAGTTGACTCCAAGACTGTAAGAACATTCCAAAGGCAATGGCAGAATTAAACTTCATATGTAGTCAGTAAAGAACATTAAAGGATGGTGTAGAAAATTCAGCCACTGATGTGAAAGACATCCTTGAGATGCTTTCCCAGTGAAGATGAAAATGACAGAGATTCAGTTCTTCACCACATACTACATGAACACTTACTGTGTGCCAGTCACTGTGCTAGGTGCTGGATCTAAAGGCTTTCACCTTCTCCATCCTCAGAGTGTGAGAGGCAGCCACTAAACCCTGAAACACAAATTAACATATACAGTAAAACCTTGGATTTCGAGTAACTTGGTTTTGCGAGTGTTCGTTCTGCAAGAGGAGCAAACATTTCTAATACATTAGCGATGTCTTACAATATGAGTAGTTTGTTTCTGGAACGAATTATGCTTGCAAACCAAGGTATTACTGTAATTGCAAATTGTGACGGTTGCCTCAACCGAAAACTGGTGCTAAAGACTGCCCATGTAGGAGGAGCCAGTTCTGATTGGTAGTTAGGGAGGTTCTCTCTAAGGAAGGAAGAGGTAGTTGGAGATATAAAGGTTGAGTAAGAAAACTGCACAGTAGAGAGTGGCTAGGGGTGTGCAGCCCTGCAGCCGAAAAGCATGCGGAGCAGCAGAGTCTGAAAGAGGACCAGGACATCTGGTTGAGGTGAGGAAGGTGGGGAATGTGGGCAAGATGTGACTGGAAAGATACTAGGGCCAGATCACACAAGGCCACCTGAGGCTGGGTGAGGAGTTCCTATTTTATTCTAAGAGAAATGGGAAGTGACTGAAGGGTTCTAAGTAGGTGGCTGATGTGATTTCTGTTTTAAAAGGTCGACTGGTCCCTGAAGTGGGGTAAGGATGAAATGGGAGAGCTCACTGAGGGGCCAGGGCAGTGTGAAGGGTGATGACGACTTGGACAATGGTGGTGGCTGACACTACAGATGAGAAGTGAATGAAGTTAGGTTACGCTCTGGAGGTTACAACTGGCAGAACTTGGATATGAGTTGGGTATAGGAGGCACTGGGGCATGAATGGCCCCAAACAACACCTGGATCCATTTTGAACACAAGGCATATGATGGTGCCACTAGTTCCCATGAGAAAGACGAGGAATTGATTGGGGGAGGGAGCAGCAGGAGGACAGGCTCAGGTCCACTAGGTCTCAGATGCTTGTGAGGTGTTCAAAAGTAAAGGGGCCAAAAACAGAAGAGAGCTCAGAGCTCGACAGTCATCTATTATTATAGACAATTCTTATTTATTTGGGGTTTCTGTACCCTTTCCTTACGGAAATAGTCAAAGACACACAAAAGTAGACAAAATAACATCCTGCATCTCTATGTACCCATCATAGTACAAACAATATTTTGTCACGAGAATGCTAAATCTCCTAGAGAAAGAGAAAGGTGCCAATTACTCTAGTCTGAGTCTCCTCATCCGAAACATTGGAATATTGTAACCGACCTCATGGAGTTCTGGTGAGAAAAAAATGAAATTATCCATGTCAACAGTGCACAGTCACCAAGGTTAGCCAATCATGTTTTTTAATTTTGGGGTGATATATCAAGGTTAGTAGGTGGAAACAAATTCAGTTAAGTTTCTAAACTTAGGAGAAAGTATAGAAATCACTGAGCTCTTATGGAGAGAAGAACAAAACAAAAGCTGTTGACACAACTATGGCAAGTTTTGGAACTCTTGCAAAGGTGAGGCAAGCTGAGAACACAGTGAGAGAGAGCAAGTAAAATTAAGGTTCCAATAAAGTGTGAATTGTGCATACGACTCCAAGGCACCCTGGCAATGGAGCCCCCACCTTATGGTAATAACATTATATTGAGGGAAAATTCACACAAAAATGGAGTAACTAGTAAAGGGTCAGAACATTACATGATCTGGTCTAGTGAGGAGTTTGCGAAGGTTTTTGCTGTAAAGAAGGACTTCCTGAGTAGACCCTCCCCCCCCACACACAAAAAAACAACAACAAAAAACTGGATTATGAATAAGAGGGTTAAACTGAACCTGTGCTCTGGAGCAGAGCCTCCAAACTTGAACGTGCACACAGTCACCTGGGGATGTTGTGAAAATGCTCCTTCAGATGCAGTGGGTCCGGGATGGGGCCTGAGGGTCCGCAAGGTTTTCTGGGGTTCCGCAGAGCTGCTGCTCCTCCGTCTGACTTTGCATGAAGTCTCTCACTGAGAAGTTCTGTAGTGCAAATACCTGCCCCTGCCAGCACTGCTGCTAGAAAGACAATGGACATAGGACGGGGTCCTGGCAGAAACCCATTCCCTCAGAAACCTTCCCAAAGAAAGGGGCTGGATGTGGCAGACAGCAGCTTAGAGGCCTCCTGCGGGCATTATATGGCCCTGGAGGGTTTGGGAGAACAACAAGGAGTCAACGGTTGTTAGCATGAGCACTATCACCCATGTGCGCACCCCCAGGAACTCAGTCTTCAGAGGAAGAGACAGAAAACGATGAGAGCAGAGCGAGATAGATATGGAGAACAGACAATGCACAAATTACAGGTGCTGATGTTCCTGGCCAAGAGATGCATAATGGAAAAAAAAAGAGATGCATAATGTAATATCTTTTAGAAAAAGGTTTTTCTAAGCTTAAGGGAGATCTCTGCGGACTGAAAGAACTTGCCCCATTTCAGGGAAAATGAACTATTGACACACACACACACACATACACATTTGGGAACAATTTTTAACCACAAAAGAAAAAAACCTGCAATCATTAAAACAGGAGAAAACAAATCATTTATTGAGGGCTTACCTTGCTCTGCACACTTGGTGCTTGACATGACTTCTCTCATTTAGACGTCACAGCATTCCAGTCAACGGGTGGTGCTGGCCTTTATGTTGATCGGATTCTGGAACTCAAACCATGTTGTCAGGATCCCTTTGCTCTCCAGCTGCCTCCGCTCTTTCATTCTTCGTGGTGGCAGACAGGCTTCCTCCAGACGTGGCACAGAAAGCTCCGGGCTCACATTCTTCTAGCTCAGGGACCCTAGAAGAAAGACACAGAGTCTCTCTCCTGGCTTCACCATACAAGGTCTCCAGTTGTCTTCATGCCATATGCTCACCCTGGGACCCACCACAGTGGCCGAGAGAATGGAGTAAGATAACTGGCCAGGGGCTGAGGGTACTGATTAGAAGTCCCATCAGAATTAAAGGGTTGGAGTGACAACAAATAAACAAATAAAAGAGAGCAAGGATAGTCTGGCCAACAAATGCAAGGGATCCATGACAGGAGGCCTATGAGGTGCCCCATTTTACAGATGACGACAGTAAGGATTAGAGAGGTCAAGTAATTTGCCCAAGGTCACACATCCAGTATAAGTTGAGGAGTCAGAATACAAACCAAGGCAGTCTGACCAGAGCTCTTAACCACCATGCTGTAAGGCAACAAAGTCAGTTTGGTTTCAGACTTCTCCGCAAATCAGCTTTCAGAAGAAAATGGGGCAACAGCGAGACTTTTTAGAGAAAAAGACTGTAACCGAAGATTCATATGCTCTGCCAAATTGTCTTTCACGATAATAGCTAAGAAATATTAAACGCACACTGTGTGACAGCCACTGTCCTACTCGTAAGTGCTTTATATATTATTGAGTCATCCACTTCATGAACAACCGTGTAAGACAGGAATTCTTATTATCCTCATTTTAGAGATGAGAAAACTGAAGCCTGGAGAGCTTGGGTAACCTATCTAAGAGCCAAGATGGTGCCTAGGCAATCTGATCTTCTGAGCCCATGATGGGAACACCTCTTCCATAATACCAGTGTTCAAAAGCATATCAACGCTCACTTTTGAAAGAAATTTAACAAAAATATACACAATAACAAGGGAGCAAAAAAACCCAAAAAAACAAAAACAGTGCGGAATGAGAAAATCATGTGAAAACTACAAAGTTAGTTTTTAAAAGTCTAAATGACTCATTTGTATCTAAATGTAAGATTTTATTAACAAAGAGAAGGGGTAAAGTAAAAGTGAGTTCAACTTGGCTAAATCAAGGGGAACTAAAAGATTACCATTTCAGTTTAAAAATTCTGATAATTTAAGAAACATAGGCTGCAGAATGAATGCTTTTTAAATTGTTCTGCATGAATATTTTATTTAGCAGTTTTCTAAATATAGCTGGTGCCATCAACTCCCCTACAGGAAAGCAGTAAGGTTTTTTTTTTAAAGAAAGGTAAACAGTAGGGTTTTCTTTTCTTGTAATATGAACTCATGGATTCAAACTTATTTGATGAGTTTAATCCATGCAATTGTCTTTACTGATGCTCAAATTGTCCCAACCGTGACTAGTGGGAACTTTAAGTTGGCTCCTGAGTCCTTGTACCATAACCTAGCGGTTCTCTGAAAGCTTTATTGCTATCAAAGCATCTTGTATGTGTCCTTCCCAGATCCACAGAATGCTTAAAGGTCATACTTACAATACTAAAAGGTGTATCTATGCCTTCCAAAGCAATGAAGAAGATCAAAGCAGAAAAAATATTCATGAGAGAAATCATAAAACAAAGGAATGGCAAAGAGGCATTAAAATTAGCATAGAAAGAGATGAAAGATGATGAACTACATGTATTACTTATAATGATAAATAAATACAGAACCTACTCCTATGCTAAAAAATAAAATTGATTTTAAAAAAATCAATTCTATGCCATCTAAAAGAATCACACAATGGCACAAGAAAATCAATGTAAGAAAATGTGGGAAAATAGGCAAGACAGACAGAAATGAAGGGAAACCAAAGATTGAATACTTAAATTAGTAGAATTTGAGACAAAAATCTGAATGAAATGGCACTGAAATGTATAAAACCAAAATTAGAAGGATAGAGAACTCAATTAATACAATTCACAGGTCTTAATAGCTTCCAGAAAGAAACATACATACTATACAATACACCTTTTTTCCTCGTGCCCATGGAACACTTAACAAAAATGGAATATATAGCTGCCCTAACAGGGGCACTTAAACAGCATTCAATTGAAGAAGACTCATGACAAAGGTAACAAATGTACAGTTGTTTACCGGATAGGATACACTATAGCAAGAATGTGAAAGTCAGGATGAACATCTCAGCATATGACTCACAGCAGGAGTCTGGAGAGGCCAGGTGCAGGCTCCTATTGTCCTCTTTCTGCAAGGGCCAGGCCAGATGTCTCGTGGATGGGGAACCCCTGATGTGTGCACAGAACCCTTCGGAACTAGGGAAACAAAAGTGAAGTCTTTGCTAAGGTTGTTTGTATTTTGCTGGTCACCTAGGCATATCTCTGCTGCAGGCCCAGCAGAACTCTGGGGTAGGTGCTGGGGAGTAGCACACCCAGGCCAGGTGCAGCTCTTCAATCTCATTGTTATTAATAAACAACCTGACAAGTTGGGTCAAACTCCCCTGAAACTCTTTGGACTCATGGTTACACAGACTCACTGTATATCAATGTTTCATGCTTTGACCCTCAGTTAGGGTCAGGCAGGAGCTTTAATTTAAAAACAGCTCAGGTTAATTGCAGACCTGCCATGATTAAATTTTACAGCACAATAGCAAAACACAAAATCTATCTCAATCATTTCCAAAACACTGAAACCATATAAGCCCTATTTTTGGACCACAATTTTAAAAATGAATAAATATGATAAATAGAAAGTAATCAAAATGCAAATTAAAACAAGCTGCTTTTTTTTTTAAGACTATAAGTCTGATGAGAATAAGAATGTGCATATCCAGTATCAGTAAGGATCGAGGGGAACTAGGCCTCTTTATTCATTGCTCCTGGAAACATAAATTTGTAGAATCTTTCTCAGATCCACCTTGGTAATCTGGACCAAAATCATTAAAGGACCCATTCTCTCAGCCCAGATATTCCACATTTTGCATTTTATCTCAAGGATATGGGCAGGCAAGGATGCTTATTGCAGCACAGTGGATAATAGCAAAACGTCCAATAATCTGGGGAGTGTTTCAGTAAGTTATATCCATATCCAATTATTGAAAATAATTTTGTAGAGGTCTGTTTGTGGCAGGCTCTGTTAGTTGTGTGTCTCCAATTTTCTCTCCTCTTTGTCTATAGTAACGGAACCCAGATAGTGTTCAGGGCAGCGGTGTTCACTGCTCCAGGCACAATGGCATGGCAGTCCTCTTCCCACTTTCCCAGCTTCCCTTGTACCAAGGAGTGGCCCTGTGATCCAGTTCTGGTCAATAAATATAAGGAGTCTACTGGGGGCTTTGAGAAAGTATTTGCTTTCCTAATAAATGGGAAAGATGCTGTTGATGTCAGCAACCATCTACTGCAGACAGTATATTAAGTGAGAAAAATGAACTATTTGTTAAATAAGAGATGGCTGGGTTTTCTGTAATTTGGAGCCCAGAGAGTCGCTAACTGTGGTAGATACTGTGATGTGCTTCCCCAGACCCCCCTTCAGGATTCCCAGATACTGGGGGTGCTACAGGCTGACAGTGTTCATTTGCCGGCTATCTCCAGGAATTGCACTCACTGAAGTCGGCTGCCTTGCCCAATGTCATATCCCCTTCCTAGGAGGCAGCCTATAGGAGTATAAGGGCTCTCAGTCTTCTTTTTTCCATTTGGGACAATTCTGCAGGGCCCTCCTAGCTCCAGAGCTGGAGCCCTGTAATGACTGCACCATTGTTTAATGCTACATTATTCCCTTTCCTGATGGTGTTGATCTTAAGAGCATTCCCTAATAACCTTCCTGCACTCAAAGTTTTTGTCTCAGAGTCTATTTCCTGGGTAACCCCCCTCCCCCCCGCCCACACACACAGTACTACTGACACATTTATTCACATAAAAAGATGTTCAAAATATATTGCTAAATGATAAACAGGTTATAAAGCAGTATGCATGGTGTTTTCTTATTATACAGACTATTTATCTGCATAGTAAAACTGTCTGCAAAGGAAAACACTAATATTTTAACACCAGGACATGTGTTTCCAACAATATGCTGGACTAGATGTTTAGAGAAACTCCTAGTTCAGAACACATTAAATGTCAAAAAATAAGTTTTAATATTTTAATATGTAGAGTAGTGGTGAGAAAATAAGGGAATTCCAAGGGTAGGGCGAGGACATAGAAATGATAGGAAAGCACAAATCCACATGAGCTAGAGATAATATTTACTCTGCAGGTAGCTGCTGATTTCTGATGGCCCAGAGCCAGGTTTTCCATGAGCCATTGCCATGGGGCATAGGAGACAAAGCCTAGAGCCTGAGCAGTATGAAAGAGGTCAGGATGGAGACCCTTGCATTAAGATAGGACAGCCAAAGAGCAACAGCTTCAAGAAGTTCAATTGGAAAAGCCCACCCTGCAGATGGCGCAGGGGGAAGTCAACTCCATGGGAACAGCCGGGCACAAGCAAGTTCACATGGGTGTGGGCCAGATCTGAACCAGAATCTCTGTGGCCCAAAGTGAACACTGTGCCAAAGATAGAGTACAAAGTGGTCCTTGGTGTTGCTCACAGTAAGCTGCCAGAAGGAAACCAAAATTTTTCTTTTTTTTCTTTTTTTTTAAGGATTTTATTGGGGAATTGGGGGAGGTGAACAGACAAGTTGCTGTCCTTTTGTTCTTCAGTCTAGCTGTGGAGGATGTTGCTTCACTGGCCCATGTTGGTATTGTGATCATTGTGCTCTTCCTGGGTGAGGCAGTCGCTCATGGTAGCTCACGGCAGCCCACGGCAGCCCCACTGCAGCCTACGCCATCGCCGGCGACTCATGGCAGCCCAGCTCCAGATCGAGCTGTTTTTCACCATCTTAGCTGTAAAGGGTGCAGCATCACTGGCCCATATGGGATCTGAACTTGGGCCCTGCTGCTCAGAGCTTGTGCTCCCAAGCCAACTCTTAACCAACGAGCCACTCGGCAGGCCCCCAAAATTTTTCTTTGGAGGAATACATTTACAGACTTCAAAGAATTACCATAAAGACACAAATTCAGAAAAAGAAATCACTAAATTCACGAGGGTCAACAGAAACATCACACTTCAGAATCAGG